AGTGAAATGAGTGCATCTAAGTAATTCACAATAATCTTTGGCATCAGAGAGCTGGCTGTGATGGAGATGCCACAGTTCCCAAACCAAGGGGGAATTCTGCCTCTCACTGCCTCTCAGCCAGAACCAAGCTGACTAAAAGAGACAGAGCTATTTTGTGTAAAGCCACAGTACTGGCACAGTTTCCTTAATTCTGGATGAAATTTTCCCAGGAAATTTCACTGATGTGGACAGGTTCCTAAAACACAAAGGCCACACATTAAAATACCCTCTGAAAAGTTAAGATTGAGCAAAGGAAGTGAGTATAAAGATGAGACCCTCCCAATTGCCCTAAGTGCATCCAAAGGTGGCTTTGGGGTTTTTTTTTATTTGGTTTGGGGGTGGGTTTTTTTCTGGGGGGAGGGAAGGGGGCACGGAATGCAATATTTAACCGGTCCAGAAAAGACCAACTACAATTCCAGTGTCAAATAAAGAGACACTAATTATAGCAGCTGTTGACATGAACTAAGAACTTCTGTCTTTCCTAAATTTTTTCCATCATTGCTACTGATGGTTCAGCTCTTCTGATAGGAGCTCTGCAACAGATACAATAGCAGTTTACACTATGTGCAACATTATCTTGCTATGCTCAGAGGAAACGGGAATAGAAAAGATGTTAAATCTCCAGTCCCAGCTGGTGCTGGATCTACACTATCACTCCAATGGTAACACTATGGTAGGAAAGAGAAAGAATTATTGGCATAAAAAGCCCTTTCCTTACATGAACCCTTGGAGAGTTCTGCAATGATGACATTTAAATGTGGTTCTGGAGACAGTCAGCAATGCCAGTTCTGGAACTGGACCATATACCAATAGGCAGTACGTTGTAGAAGCTAGAGACTGAGAGTGGAGTCAGACAGGCTTGTTGAGGGGGGAAAAAAATAAAAAAAAAAAAAAAAAAAAAATCAGCAACTGTTGTGGTACAGCTATATAGAAGCTCGAAAGGGCTGTCAGGAACATAATGAAATCGCATCTTCGTTCGCTCTCACTGCTGTAATTACAGAACAAAGATGCGTGCAGCGTCCTCAAGTTCGGGGATCCTTATTTTTACTGTGCTAGTACTGAAGGTCCCAGGCAGCTCACAATTCCAGGCTGCAGAATGTCCAAGCACAGGAAACGGCCTCCCCACACCTCCACCTCCTCTTTACTTCCCAAACAATGAATTGAGAAACAAAGGCATAGGAAAACGAAATCACGTAGTAAGGAAGCAACAGTGTCAGAAACGGCCTCTGCACCTCCCCTGTTTGATGTCAGGACAGGATCTGGTAAGTCAGAACGAGCAACAGCAAGAGGCAGATGAGGACACAGTTCCTGCAGGTGGGAAATCCTTAGCATCTCAGTCACACCGGTGGAGGAAGCCACGGAGCCCAAGTTAAGAGTTGCATGGAGGGATGGAGACCAGGAGGGGGAGAACATAAGGACAGGATAACCAGTTTTGTAACTACACAGGTGTGGAAAAAAATTGCAGACACAACTGATAAACTTAGGTATCAAATTAGGTAGGTGTCCAATCACCTTATTTGCATTCCATGTTAATGTGATCACAACTATTTGCATACATTTGCCCATTTTCCAAATATATATTTAAAGATGCAAACTTCAGAACATGTCCTAGTCTAAACAGGAAAAGCTCAGGCTGACAAAGCAGCCAAAACTTTGAAATGGTAAGGGTTCATCTCTTCATCAGTAAAAAAATACATTCTTCATGTCCAGCGATGACTGCACATTTCTGTGGAACACGGGCTAGAAAAAGTTACATCCTGAAAAGAGCGAGCATGTGGAGACAGACAATGGATGTGTATTTGCTAGAAGGCATTTTGTGTCGAATTTCTGTAGACCTTTAGGAGTATGCTGAAAAAACAGAAGCTCAGTCAGAATTCGAGCAAAATCAGGGTGCACAAAGCTTTTCTTCATAACTTGCCTATGCCATCCGCTATTCAGAAAAAAAAAAAAAAAATCAGCATCTGTTGTGGCACAGCTATATAGAAGCTCGAAAGGGCTGTCAGGGAGAAGACACCAAAACAATCTACCCCACATTAGCAGTGTTAATTGCAATGACTCAGAGCCTTCAGGCTGAAGCCCAATTATTTAGAATTAATTCTAATTAATTGTTTAGAATTGAAACAGCCTTAAGACACTCCATAAAAAAGCTGGAGATCCCGTGCGGGGTTGCTGAACTGTGGTAACAGTTGCTCTTAATTCAGAATCCCCGTTTCCAAAAGCTCGCCTCCCTCGACCATCTTCACCGAGACGCGGTGGATCCGTTTCCGTAAGAAGTCGCAGGGTGGCAGCGCTGCCGCGCTCTGCTGCGAAGCCAGCCTGCAAACAGGGAAGGAACACCGGCATTGACAAGCAACTCTTGTCACTAATGCACTCGCGGCTGATTTGAAGCGAGAATCTGAAATAATTACTCCTGGCAAGTGAACCTCGTAATGCGTTTCAAGGATTAGACTGAATCTAGCAGAGGAAAACATCCCAACTCTGAAAACGTCAAAATTTAAATTTCATACTGTTCCCTCTATCCTAATTAAAGCTATTCTGCTACCACTTCAGATGCAGGAAGTACGTAACTACAGAACCTCAGCTTCAAAAAATTGTCGTTCCAGCGAATACTTTGCACTGCACACATATAAATACGCATATATATACTTTTCATATAAAGACTGACGTGTCTTTATAAACCTAAACTCAACCTGACTTTATTTCGTCCTGCAGCCCGGGTGCTGGGTCCTTAATTGGCCACACTGCAGCCACACGCATTTGTTCGTGGGTTCCCAAGTTAAGCACAACCTTCCAAGAGCAAACGTCACTGTAGCTGAAAGGCAGTTCATCACAGGCTCTGCTCCCTACAGAGAGCATAGGTGGGACAGTGCCAAATCTGGAGGGCTCTCCTGGACAGAGAGAACCGCTGCCACCCCAGCCTCACTGTGTCCTTATGCCCCCCCTTCTGTCTCTCCTCAAAGTGTGCGCCATGTGCCCACTTTGCAAAGATGAAACAAGCTGCACGTCGGAAGAGTGCAAAGCAGCAGTCTTACGTCAGTCATTTTAACGTTATAACCAGAAAAAAATGCTTAGGCCACAAAGTCCTCAGGGGACTTGGGAATATTGGAGGCTTCTCGGTCACCAGCTCGTATCTTTGTTTCACCAGGACTCAGTAGTCTGCTCACACAGCAAGGTACCACAGTTTGCTGCTGTGGACTGTCCCTTCGGTACCAAACAACAATGCTTTAAATTTTAGAAATTTGGAATTAAATTTAGCATTTGGAAGGCAGTGACCAGAGTCCTGCTGCAGCGCAACACGCACATATGCAGCAGGAACAGCGCCAGCGTGCTGTCGCGGCGAGTCCCAACTAATGATTCTGCTCACACAGCAAGGTACCACAGTTTGCTGCTGTGGACTGTCCCTTCGGTACCAAACAACAATGCTTTAAATTTTAGAAATTTGGAATTAAATTTAGCATTTGGAAGGCAGTGACCAGAGTCCTGCTGCAGCGCAACACGCACATATGCAGCAGGAACAGCGCCAGCGTGCTGTCGCGGCGAGTCCCAACTAATGATTGCTGGGTTGCGTCAAGCGTGCCGCCGACCCCTCGGTTCGGTCAGAGGGTGCGCATGGAGTGGCCAAGCCGGCGATGCAGGGGTGTGCGGCAAACCGAAGAGGCCGGAGGG